AGACGTCCCTATTTCCAATTGAAGTCATTATGCTTTACTGCGAGATTTGTTTTCACATAAATGCCAGCTTCAGTTCGTAGTTTGTTATTTAGGATACGCGTAAAACTATTGAGGGAAGCAATAGCGCAAGGCCAGGACAAGTTGAAGAGCCAGAACTGTTGGAGCGACTGCTACAAGTCAGTGATGACGAATCACATGCTCTGATCGCCAGCGAAATCATACGCGACCGTGATCAGGATCCATGGGAGTTTCTCGTGGAGTACGCTGATTTTCAATGGAACGATTTGGACTTGGGAGGCCAGAATAATGTTGAAGAAGCACCCCCTGCCGAAACTGCTGTTGAGGACACGTCGAGAAACGATGCAACGGACGACAAGCCCATAACGAATCGACACCCAGGAGAGGGCGTGACTGAATGTCGTATTTGTCTATGCCCATTTGATGACGACGATACCGACATATGGGTATGCAGAAGTGACCGCTGTAGACAGCCGTACCACCGAACGTGCATAATCCAGAGCATGGAGCACGACCCAAGATGTGGAAACTGTCGGACGCTTGTCGAGCTTGATGTTGAAGACGGAGAGGCGATCATCGTTAAGCACGTTCCACCTCCCCCGAAGTGCCGCGTCTGCGGTGATGCAACCACCGGTTTTGTTTTGGAAGGCCCTCAGTGTGATCACCAGTTTGATTATCGTTGTCTCGTGGACTACAATGCACAGTTCTACGGCTTGACAGCCTTGGGCGAACTCAAGTGCCCTGCGTACGAGTTTCCATTTCCCGTTGATGATTTCTACGACAGTGAAAGTGGAGACAATAGCGGAGGCGATGTGATCGTCGACAATGCGTTCGAGAACGAAGGGGATGAGCAAGATCTTGGGGAAAACGGCCCAGATCACAACGCGGAAGAAGTAGTTATGATCAGCGATGGTGAGTACCACGAGATCGATTTCAACAGCGAGGAGGATGGCTCGGACGACGACTATACTCCAGGTGAAGAATAGGCAGTGTCGAAGCAAAAACTAGGAAAAGATGCATAAACGAAAAATATACATGTTTTGGATGAAATTGATTGTAGCTTTAATTTGTTTATCGTCACGTAAATATTGAGTATACGGGGATACAACAGAGACATGATACATAATACAATTGGGATCGACACAAAGTACAATTGTAGTCGAATATAGTATAATTGGGGTGGTACAAGTACAATTGGGGTCGACACAAAGTACAATTGGGGTCGACACATAGTACAATTGGGGTGGATTGCGGTATAGAGTACACGTAAAGTACAATTGGTGACGACTTAAAGTACATTTGGGGTCGACTTAACTTACAGTTTGAGTATAATTTGGACAGACGTAGAGTACGGTTGGGACCGACAAGAGTACAATTCGGAACGGTAGAACAGTTGGGAACGACATTAAGTACAGTTAAAGATACAGTTGGGAACGACATTCTGTACATTTGGGGACGACGTACAGTACACCTGGGGGTGGCAGCGAGTACACTCGAGAACGACCTACAGTACAGTTGGGGACGACAAATACATATGACGTATCCAAATTACTTACGCTTCTGAGCTCGGATCGCCGCGAGGATTTGTTAACTGGCATATCGCCTGATATCAGACAGCTAAACTCGGTTTCAAAGCGATCCATATCCCCATCAAACCTTGCCTGAACAAACTCAGCGATGATCTTCATCCTGGACAAGCGCGAGCGGTGTATTTTGCGCTCATGGGGGAGCATATTCACACCGGCTCGATACTGATGGCACTCAGGATTTGATGTCCAGTATTGGGTCACGTAGTCTTGCCATGATTTTGCGTCAGGGAGCTTAGACACCAAC